CCTCGCTAACGTTCCAAAATTGGCCTTTTTCACACCTGCTGAGGGAGCGCCGTGAAAATGTAAACGTACATTGATATAGAATCTATGCACTATGTCGTCAGTCTGGTTGCGTCTTGCGTATTTGTATTATGGCAGCCATATATGCGTCCTATCCCGTCAGACACTTGTTTGTGGGTCCCCTGTGCGCTCTGTGCGTTGTCTGCTGCCTTTGCTAGTCGGGGTGAGGTGCGTTGTGTGGTGGGTTAGGTAAGTTCAAGTTGCAGTCTTCACCTAAGCCGCTTTAGCAGCGGGCTGCCTCAGTTCTGCAGGCGATTGTGTGAAGTAGTGCTTTCTTCACCAGTTTCGCTGCAGTGTAGGAAACTACTCTGAACATGCAGCCGCGAGCAGCAGCAAGCATCAGGTGGACCTGGGTTGCGAGGACTTCAGAAATAACAAACAAGGCTTGGGCTCGCGCCTTACGTGGTCAGCACAACCCTGTCCAACCTGAGGTGAGAACAATTTCTCCACTTGTCTACTCTGCGTCATCGTGCTCTCTCTTGGACCTTTTGTGACCCCTCTTCCCATTTAGCATGAGATTTTCACACTGTGGTGTGTTCCATTTTTTGTCCATAGGGTGCTGGCAGATTACGGGCCTCCCATAGCTGCTGCCAGGCCCCTAATCTGCCATGGGCCCCTGTACGCCTCCTCATGCTGCTGCCAGGTCCAGAGTGTCTCATGGGTCCCTGTACGGCCTCCATTGCTGCTGTCTCCATCGCCACACTCTGCCATGTGCCACTTTCAGGTCTCCTCACACACTGCTGGTGTGTTCAATTTTTTTGTCATAGGGTGCTGGCAGATTACGGCCTCTCCCATAGCTGCTGCCAGGCCCCTAATCTGCCATGGGCCCCTGTACCGCCTCCTCATGCTTGCTGCCAGGTCCACAGTGTCTCATGCCATGTGCCACTTTCAGGTCTCCTCACACTGCTGGTGTGTTCCATTTTTTGTCATAGGGTGCTGGCAGATTACGGGCCTCCCATAGCTGCTGCCAGGCCCCTAATCTGCCATGGGCCCCTGTACCGCCTCCTCATGCTGCTGCCAGGTCCAGAGTGTCTCATGGGTCCCTGTACGGCCTCCCATTGCTGCTGTCTCCATCGCCACACTCTGCCATGTGCCACTTTCAGGTCTCCTCACACATGCTGGTGTGTTCCATTTTTTGTCATAGGGTGCTGGCAGATTACGGGCCTCCCATTGCTGCTGCCAGGCCCCTAATCTGCCATGGGCCCCTGTACCGCCTCCTCATGCTGTGCCAGGTCCACAGTGTCTCATGCCATGTGCCACTTTCAGGTCTCCTCACACTGCTGGTGTGTTCCATTTTTTTGTCATAGGGTGCTGGCAGATTACGGGCCTCCCATAGCTGCTGCCAGGCCCCTAATCTGCCATGGGCCCCTGTACCGCCTCCTCATGCTGCTGCCAGGTCCAGAGTCTCTCATGGGTCCCTGTACGGCCTCCCATTGCTGCTGTCTCCATCGCCACACTCTGCCATGTGCCACTTTCAGGTCTCCTCACACACTGCTGGTGTGTTCCATTTTTTGTCATAGGGTGCTGGCAGATTACGGGCCTCCCATTGCTGCTGCCAGGCCCCTAATCTGCCATGGGCCCCTGTACCGCCCTCCTCATGCTGCTGCCAGGTCCACAGTCTCTCATGGGTCCCTGTACGGCCTCCCATTGCTGCTGTCTCCATCGCCACACTCTGCCATGTGCCACTTTCAGGTCTCCTCACACACTGTGGTGTGTTCCATTTTTTGTCATAGGGTGCTGGCAGATTACGGGCCTCCCATTGCTGCTGCCAGGCCCTAATCTGCCATGGGCCCCTGTACCGCCTCCTCATGCTGCTGCCAGGTCCAGAGTCTCTCATGGGTCCCTGTACGGCCTCCCATTGCTGCTGTCTCCATCGCCACACTCTGCCATGTGCCACTTTCAGGTCTCCTCACACACTGCTGGTGTGTTCCATTTTTTGTCATAGGGTGCTGGCAGATTACGGGCCTCCCATTGCTGCTGCCAGGCCCCTAATCTGCCATGGGCCCCTGTACGCGCTCCTCATGCTGCTGCCAGGTCCAGAGTCTCTCATGGGTCCCTGTACGGCCTCCCATTGCTGCTGTCTCCATCGCCACACTCTGCCATGTGCCACTTCAGGTCTCCTCACACACTGCTGGTGTGTTCCATTTTTTGTCATAGGGTGCTGGCAGATTACGGGCCTCCCATTGCTGCTGCCAGGCCCCTAATCTGCCATGGGCCCCTGTACCGCCTCCTCATGCTGCTGCCAGGTCCAGAGTCTCTCATGGGTCCCTGTACGGCCTCCCATTGCTGCTGTCTCCATCGCCACTCTGCCATGTGCCACTTTCAGGTCTCCTCACACTGCTGGTGTGTTCCATTTTTTGTCATAGGGTGCTGGCAGATTACGGGCCTCCCATAGCTGCTGCCAGGCCCCTAATCTGCCATGGGCCCCTGTACCGCGCTCCTCATGCTGCTGCCAGGTCCACAGTGTCTCATGGGTCCCCTGTACGGCCTCCCATTGCTGCTGTCTCCATCGCCACACTCTGCCATGTGCCACTTTCAGGTCTCCTCACACACTGCTGGTGTGTTCCATTTTTTGTCATAGGGTGCTGGCAGATTACGGGCCTCCCATTGCTGCTGCCAGGCCCCTAATCTGCCATGGGCCCCTGTACCGCCTCCTCATGCTGCCAGGTACAGAGCCATGGGTCCTGTACGGCCTCCCATTGCTGCTGTCTCATCGCACACTGTGCCATGTGCCACTTTCAGGTCTCCTCACACTGCTGGTGTGTTCCATTTTTTGTCATAGGGTGCTGGCAGATTACGGGCCTCCCATAGCTGCTGCCAGGCCCTAATCTGCCATGGGCCCCCGTACCGACTCCTCATGCTGCTGCCAGGTCCACAGTGTCTCATGCCATGTGCCACTTTCAGGTCTCCTCACACACTGCTGGTGTGTTTCCATTTTTTGTCATAGGGTGCTGGCAGATTACGGGGGTCCCATTGCTGCTACAGGCCCCTAATCTGCCATGGGCCCCTGTACTGCCTCCTCATGCATGCTGCAGGTCCACAGTGTCTCATGCCATGTGCCACTTTCAGGTCTCCTCACACTGCTGGTGTGTTCCATTTTTGTCATAGGGTGGTGCTGGCAGATTACGGGCCTCCCATAGCTGCTGACAGGCCCCTAATCTGCCATGGGCCCCTGTACCGCCTCCTCATGCTGCTGCCAGGTCCACAGTGTCTCATGGGTCCCTGTACGGCCTCCCATTGCTGCTGTCTCCATCGCCACACTCTGCCATGTGCCACTTTCAGGTCTCCTCACACACTGCTGGTGTGTGTTTCCATTTTTTGTCATAGGGTGCTGGCAGATTACGGGCCTCCCATTGCTGCTGCCAGGCCCCTAATCTGCCATGGGCCCCTGTACCACCTCCTCATGCTGCTGCCAGGTCCACAGTGTCTCATGGGTCCCTGTACGGCCTCCCATTGCTGCTGTCTCCATCGCCACACTCTGCCATGTGCCACTTTCAGGTCTCCTCACACACTGCTGGTGTGTGTTCCATTTTTTGTCATAGGGTGCTGGCAGATTACGGGCCTCCCATAGCTGCTGCCAGGACCCTAATCTGCCATGGGCCCCTGTACCGCCTCCTCATGCTGCTGCCAGGTCCACAGTGTCTCATGTCCCCATGTGCCACTTTCAGGTCAGGTCCTCATACTGTGGTGTTCCATTTTTTTGTCATGTGCCACTTTAGGGTGCTGGCAGATTACGGGCCTCCCATAGCTGCTGCCAGGCCCCTAATCTGCCATGGGCCCCCGTACCGCCTCCTCATGCTGCTGCCAGGCCCGTAATCTGTCATGGGCCCCTGTTGTCGCTTGTTGGCATATTCCGCTCGTTCAGATGCTCCTTCTCCTGCTACTCCTCTTCACGGATTCCGTCAGCAGTCTTTCTTGGAATCCGTTTCCAAGAGACAACAGTTTGCGAGCACGCACCCGACGGTTTGCAGAAGCTGAACGTCCTCCTGTCCAAGTTGCTGCTGCCAGGCTCGTAATCTGTCATGCGCCCCTGTACCGTCTCCTCATGCTGCTGCCAGGTCCAGAGTGTGTCATGGGCCCCCGTACCCGACTCCTCATGCTGCTGCCAGGCCCGTAATCTGTCATGGGCCCCTGTACCGCCTCCTCATGCTGCTGCCAGGTCCAGAGTGTGTCATGGGTCCTGTACGGCCTCCCATTGCTGCTGTCTCCATCGCCACACTCTGCCATGTGCCACTTTCAGGTCTCCTCACACTGCTGGTGGGTTCCATTTTGTCATAGGGTGCTGTATGGCCTCCCATTGCTGCTGCCTCCACCGTCCCCCGTGACTGCCCAAATGAGTGAAGTGTGCGGTGATTCTAAGATCGACGGCACTCATCTGCATGTCATACTGACTGACAGTATTATTTCTCTTCCCCAGCAGACTCCAAGGGCATTTAAATTAAAGGTACAGTGTTCTGCACTAATATAAAGGCTCTCTGAAGCCTAGAAACACCCTTTTATAAGTTAAATTCGCAGCGAATATATTCGACTCGAATCGAAATTTTTTCACGAATTCGCCGAATCAGTCGAATCGAATTTTTGAATAATTCGCTCATCTCTAAATGCCATCTTGGCCACGCCGTCTAATGTATCAGTTTTAAAATCCAACTGTACAGCTTTTAAAACTTTTTTACAGTACATATTTTCATTCAAAAGTACATTTCTGGATAGAAGTAGAATAAAACAGAGCTAATTTCTCCTTACAGGCTATTTTATCAATCCCATGCTAGCCAGATATACTAGATTTTTTATTTGACAAAAACTGAAATAAAACTTCCGCTTTTCTCAATAGACACCACTGAAAACATGAAGCAACGGGGAATATCCAGCATGGCCTTTAGATTACGTGTCTGATTTTCAAGTTTCAGAGTTAAATATTTGAATCACATACACTGTCCAACTACATGGACATGTCACGATAACATAGACAGAAAAAAATATATCTAAAGTTTATAGGAACCTTAAATTTTTATGTGGCTACATTTCACTGTCTATCATAGAGAACAACAGACTAACTGGAATCAGAAAGGTCAGAGTGCCCAAACACAGACTGGATACCAAAACAGCACCGTCATTCAGCTTGATCTTCAATCAGTTTCACCTGTCAAGGCTGGTAAACAATAACAGGATATCTCTATTGGGAAGTTTATGATACTCACACATACCGAGACAAGAAAATTCTGTGCATGTTGCAGTTGTATCAAAATGATTATCATTTAAAAGAATGGTGACTTTAAACATATTGTACTCTAATAATTGTGTGAAGATATTACACACAACAATAGTATTCAATATATATATTTTTATATTTACATGCAGGCCAGCCTATATAAAAACTATCTAACTATAAATTCAATGGTTATAAAGATAAAAAAAAAGATTATACTGTATGTAGCTACCTTCAGGTGATTGGATAATTGCAAAAAAAGGAAGGCTGCAGGGACATTCCCCCTTTATAACCACTTCCACTCTCAGCTAGCCCCAGTTTTGTAGCAAGCAATAGGTAGAGCCAGGGGCAGACTGACAACTCATGGGGCCCCCAGGCAATAGGGGATCATGGGGCCCCTGTGTCCTTGCCCAAACTCAAAAAATTCCATGAAAAAGGTACCAGGGGCATCTCATGGGGCCCCCTACTGACCCCAGGCCCTCGGGCAGTGCCCGAGTTTCCAAATGGTCAGTCCGCCCTTGGGTAGAGCAGAAGAACAGAGGAGAGGGTCCTATGTCCTGTACTCCAGAAAATGGATTTTACTGGTAAGTCAAATATCTGATATCCTGATCCTACAGCAAAGGACACAGCCTTCTTTAACCACTTCAAGTCTGGACACTTTTACCTCCTTCCTGACCAGGCCAATTTTCAGTGCTATCACACTTTGAATGACAATTGTGTGGTCATGCAACACTGTACCCATATGAATTTTTTAGCTTTTTTTTTTTTTTTGAGACAGATAAAAGTTTATTTTGGTGGTATTTATTCACCACTGGGATTTTAATTTTTTTTTGCTATATAAATGAAAAATTCCAAAAATTTTGAAATAAAGTGTTTTTCTTATAAAACTTAGCAATAAATAATCTTTCTTCATAAATCTTGGCCATAATTTATTCAGTTATCTTTTTAGTAAAAAAAATAACCCAAATTAGTTTATAACCAAAAATTTTTCAGAATTTATTTTACATGTTTATTTTATTTTTTTATATTATTTGCTTTTTTTTTTTTTTTTTAAATACCGTCACCCTAGCAGTATAGTGACACTGTACTACTTGTGGGGTGGGGGGGGGGGGGGTGATGAAGATTTTTTTACACTGATTGCTTTTACACCCATAAAGGCTGTAAAAGCAATCATTTCTCCTTCTCTTTGGCTGCATTCTTGCAGCCTTTGAGAAATACTGTGATCGGTCACAGCTTGTCACATGGTACAACACTGTTGTGAATAGCCTTGTACCATGTGATCTCTGTGATCATTCACAGATTTCACACGTAGTAAGCAATGATGTCAGAAGTGTCATCTTGCTTACTACTCTTCATGTGATCACTGATTGGCCAATCAGTGATCACATGATCGGGACCTCACACAGAGGTCCCATACAATGATCGGTGTTCCGCTATGTCCTCTGGACACAGCGGACACCGGATCGCGGTGCTGCGCGCTCCCAGGGAGCACGCACAAGCAGGGAGCGGGGAGGACGTTTATAAACGGCCACCCGCAACTGCACTGCTCCCTTCCGCCCATTAATATACATGGGCCGGACGGGAAGTGGTTAATACAACTTGAATGTCCTAAAGCAGTTCAACTGTGGGGAAGAACACAAGGCAAACAAGCCCACATAACAAACAGGTCAAGAAGGGTTAGACGGACTAAGAAAGCAGCTTGTAACACCTTACATTCAAAACTGGCATCAGAAAAGGCTTAAACATCCACCTAGTAAAATTTTAAACACATGAACAGAAACCACCTTACAAATCTCAGAAACAGGAGCTTGATGCCGAAAAGTCCAAGAAGCACCAACAGATCTGGTAGAGTGTGCTTTAACAGGGAAGGGAGGAACCCTATCTTTCAGGCTAAAGACTCTAATGATAGCCTAGCAATGGTGGTGCAAGAGGCAGGAAGAACCTTGCAGGAACAATTTTCCAAAGTGACAGTTGCTAATAGGTAATCTCTAACAGCAAACACAATGTCTGAACAATGGAGGGAAATTTTCCTAGGGTGTTTGGAGCCAGACATGATGAAGGAAAGACAATATCCTGATTAAGGTGGCAGGGGGAGAGCCCATCATTGGGAGGAAGGAGTCCATTGGCCTTTTTCTCTGTATGCAACATGGAGTGTGCAGTGGCAATGTGCTTTCCCACTTGCTATTTTTGTGCATTTTTCACGCGTTTCTGTGTGTCGCACATAGGGCAGCCCATTCTGCCTTATGTGCAACAAATACATCAAAGAAGCTCCAGGAAATGTTTGCATTTCACCTCTTTTCATTGTGCATTTTGTCGCATTTGTAGTGTGTTCGCCGCACATCTGATAACCATGTTTGGGGTATTATTAACAATTAATAGCACTGCAAGTGCAAGGCACATTTGCAGCGTGTTTCTGAAATGCGCATCAAAATGAGCATTTCCTGTGTGTTTTGTGTGTTCAGAAAACGTGAGGTGTGACTGGAGTCTTAGAAAGGCTCACCCTGAGTTCCAGAATGTTGACTGCAAGGCAAGCTTTCTCCGAGGATCAAATCCTCTGCACTAATAGGGTGTTCCGGAAAGATCCAGGCTGGTATCCTCCTTGAGAACAGGGCCACATAAGACCAAGAATAAACAGGTATGAGAGCTTATATGTTTAAACTGTGCACAGGTAAATAATTAGCAAAACTGCACATTTTCAGGCAGAAGTTGCCAACTTGCAACCTGCATTCTTTGTATAAATGTCTGCCAATTAGGTGGGGGGGGGTATAAATGTCTCATTCCCTCTCTCAATGGCAACAAATGCTATGTATCTGGCAGGAAACATTAAAATGCATCAATGAGATTAAGCATTATCAAGACTCGGCAGCAATTAATCTCTGTTGTGCTGCTGAAAATAAAAAAAAGCGTATATATTACTCTAAATGGCAAAGTAAATAGCACTGCTTCTTGCTTGGCGTGCTTTCAGAGAAAAATGTCCCTTTGTACACCTGGACCACACAAGCACACATCATTTGTATATGACTAATAACATTTGCAATACCAGATAAAACAAAGAAAGATCAAACACGAACGTTTAGCACTTCAAACAAGCTAAATAAAAAAGCTATGCACGTTATCTTTGTAATAAACATTTATCAATTCCCTGTATAAAAAAAAAACACATTTATGTGCAAGACTTTCATCTGCTTCTTTACCTTTAGTGCTCAATGGAACTTTTGTTGTGCAGCCAAACAGACGTGGGTAGGTGTGGCTTATTTAATTTGTAACACATTCAAAGTCTTTCAAAGCACATAAAGCCAACTTCATGAAACAAGGGGCAGTTTATATATGCACTTTTCATTGAAGAGCACAAATTCTTCTGATGTTGCTAGCCAAGGATGATTTTGCAATTTCAAACAATCAGCTCATCAAAATATTTGTTTCTCAGTGGTCTATGATGCACTGTATTTGAGAATAGGGCTCCAGAATTAGTGCAGAGTTTCTCAAATGTAGAAATATTAAAAACGTTTAAAGATTCTTTATTTCTTATCACTGGTCTGCCAAGTTTCTCTGCGCTGACCATTTGTATCCCTTCCTTCAGTACAAATGTTAAAATCATAAATACTGAACAGCAATGTTTGCCCAGGAATGTCTATTATTTAACGCAGAGAATCATAATGATACTAAACAGAGAAGTGTTAATTGTCATAATTTATTCACAAAAAACATATCTATCATGCCACTGTATTTTGTTTTTCCTCTCACCACCTTATTCCTGCAGTGCTGTTGTGTGGTCACATTACTGTATTATTATACACGATTTACAGGATATAGCAACATTTTGCGCAGCGCTTTCCCATATAAAGGAAGACAATACAGCAACGATACAATTCAATACAAGAGGGTTAGGAGGGCCTGATCCTGGAAGCTTACAGACTATCAGGGAGGGACTGGTGGAACAAAAAGGTAATAGCTGTGTGGGATGAAATGATGGCAGCCTACCTTCACAGAAGATCCGTGGTACAACCTACCTGCCAAGTTCCTTCAAAAGCTGTGTGCAAATGTACCTAGCAGAATTGATGTCACACCAAATATTAACCACTTCACGCTGACCGTATGCAAAATTAGCTGCCCCACTGGACTTGGCTTTTTTTCCGTGGGGCTGCTAATTTGCATACCTGTTTTTGTGCTGGGAGTCCAGGGT